TTTTAACGTCAAACCAACTTTTTCTAGTGTTTCGTTCTAATGTATTCATTCATTCATTCGTTTGTTCTTTCATTCGTTCATTCATTCATTCGTTTGTTCTTTCATTCGTTCATTCATTCATTCGTTTATTCATTCATTCGTTCGTTCATTCATTCGTTTATTCATTCATTCGTTCGTTTATTCATTCCTCCTGATAATCAATCTCTCAATCAAACAATTAGCGAAGAGGTTATTGTTTGTCTAGCTTTGCTTAACCTTAGCTAATAAATAACATATCGTGACCGTCTATATGCACTATGTACATTCGTATGTATGTATGTATGTTTGTTTGTATGTATGTTTGTATGTATGTATGTATGATTGTTTGTATGTGTGTGTATGTATGTATGTATATATGTTTGTGTATGTGTTTATTATGTATGTATGTAGTTATTCATCCATGCATATAATTTCATGTACACCAAGAAATGAAGAGTTAATCATCATTTATCATCGTCATCATCGTCGTCGTCGTCATCATCATCATCATCATTATGCCTAACCCCTAACCAGATGACCTGGTGTGGTACGACATCCCTCAGGGCGACACCAGAGGGCAGGACGACTACGGCGACCACCTCTACGACGGCCACTTCCGGCGTTTCCGGGGTCACGATGACGTCACTGTTCACGGTGATGATGATGATGATGATGCAGCTACTAAGTGGTTTTACGGCGGGTTGGGTCAGCTAACTGACAGAGTTGAAGGTTTAAATTTTCATTCATTCACTTTTTCACTCATTCATCCATTCACCCATTCGTTCGTTCGCACATTCACTCATTAATTTACTCATTAATTCATTCATTAATTCATTATCCATTCACCCATCAATTCATCTAGCGACGAAGAGCATCAACTCTGATGTTAGGAATCTCCAAAGAAAAGGCTACGATTGGGTGGGCTGGAAACGAGACAGCAAATCAGGTCAGACGAAACTGGGTCAAGTTAAATTGGGTCAAACATCATCATCTTCATTGCTTTCATCATTGTCGTCGTCGTCGTTGTCTTTGGCTCAAAAAGATTTTGTAGAATTGAGGTATGGAGATGATTTTGTTGGTTTGTATATGCAAACATACATACAAACATACATACAAACATACATACAAACATACATACAAACATACATACCAATGTACAAAGGTTTGGCTTCGCGAACGTTAGAAACTTCACTTCCGTAACGTTTCACTGTTTGCACGCACCTGGCAAGGGTGTGAAAGTATTTAGTTTTGCTGTTGTCCAGTTCTTCGGGGACCAAGGTGAGATTTAATTGGTTGGTTGGTCAGTTGATTGACTGGCTGGCTGGTTGGTTGGTTGGTTGGTTGGTTGATGTGTGTTAATGGATTCTACTGATTTGTTAATTGAGAGGTTGATCAGTCGTTCGTATGTTATTTTAATTTATTTAAATTTCGTGAACTTTTCGCCAAATGATTATTTAAAGAATCAATCTGCAATGTTTTGTAATCTATTCATATTGATTAATCAATCAATCAATCAATTAATCAATCAATTTAATCAATTATTTAACCAACCAGTCAACCAACCGACCGACCAATCAACAAATCGACCAACCAACCACCAATCCAACCAACCATTCAGATAACGAAAAACCTTCCAAAACGCTCAACTACACAAATCCGCTACTGGATAATAGTAGTAGCAGCAGCGTCAGCAGCGCTTCTGGTGGTAGTGATAGTAGTAGTAGTAGTAGTAGCGGTGGTCAGCAACAAACGATGATGATGATGATGTTGTCAGCCTCTGTGGGCGTTGATAATTCACCACAAGTTTCCAATGTCACAATAAATTTGCACAATTACCTTGGTTAGTCGGCTCTAGTTCTCTCTCCCTCTCTCTCTTTCTCTCTCTCTCTTTCTCTCTCTCTCTTTCTCTCTCTCTTTCTCTCTCTCTTTTTCTCTCTCTCTCTCTTTCTCTCTCTCTCTTTCTCTCTTTCTCTCTTTCTCTGTTTTTTGCTTTATCTATCGTGATTGTTGTCTTTCTGTTCTCTCTCTCTCTTTTTTTTTTCTCTCTCTCTCTCTCTTTCTCTCTCTCTCTTGCTGTCTTTTTATTTCATTTTTCTCATATCTCTCTCTCTCTCTCTCTCTCTCTCTCTCTCTTTCTCTCTCTCTCTTGCTGTCTTTTTATTTCATTTTCATCTCAATCCCTTTTTTTTTGGTTGTTTAGAGAATTGCACGCACACACACACGCACAAACGCACACAAAAACAAACAAATACACACACAAACAAACAAATACACACACAAACAAACAAATACACACACAAACAAACAAACACAGGTAAGTACCTGCACGTACGGCTGTATTTCGCCGATCGCTGGTTACTAATGAGTGAAGTGTATTTTGTGTCAGGTCGGTTTAGTATTATTGTTTTATTATTATTATTATTTATTATTATTGTTATTATTATTTATTTATATTTATTATTATTATTTTTGTTGTTATTGTTTATCAGTTCTCCACTGCTTAAGAAAGATTACTCTGAGTAGATTTCCGTGTCGGGAACAAAATACAATTATTATTATTATTATTATTATTATTATTATTATTATTATTATTATTATCACTATCGTTAGTATATTGTTGTCGTTGTTATTATTATTATTATTATTTGTAGAATCTTTGAAGACAGCGTTATATCTGTGGAGATGATGACAAAGTTTTGTTGCTGTTGTTGTTGTTGTTGATGAGGATGATGATGATTATTATTATCATTATTATTATTATTATTATAATTATTATTATTATTATGACGATGATAATGATGACGGTGGTGGATGACGATGACGTAATGAGTGACGTAATGGGTGGCCGGTATGATGATAAGATGGACACGGAGGTATTTCTGAATTAAATTCGCAGTCATCTTCATCGTCGTCATCGTCATCATCAGCCATCATCATCATCATAACCATCACCATCATAACCATCATCATCATAACCTCATCACCACCACCACCATCATCATCAACAACAACGACAATGAGGAAATAACAAAGAGACGGCCATCATCATCATCATCAACATCTTCTTCATCATCATCATCAACATCATCATCATCATCAACATCACCTGTGATGAATTATCCTTCATATTTGTTGTGCACGACCTTCCGTTAACGTTTAGAAATGACAAATCTCATTTGCGCTCTTGTTGTTGTTATTATTGGTAGTAGTTGAAGTAGCTGCAGTAGCAGTTGTAGCAGCAGCCGTAGTAGTAGCAGTTGTATTATTATTATTATTATTAGTAGTAGTAGTAATAGTAGTTGTTGTTGTAGAAGTAGTAGTAGTAGTAGT